AACCATACGCTTCAGAGGCGCATGCTTTTCTAAGGCGTCAATTTTATACTAACAATGGATATTTATTTAAGTTAATCTAGTCATTTTAAAGGTTTGGTATTATTGTAAAAATAAAATGCATTTATATTATATTTTTTTATATTTTAAGTAATTTTAAACTTAAATCACTAGACCTCTATGAAAAATTAACAAAAATCAACAGTCTTCGCAGGCGCCTCTGCGACGTAGGTTATCTTTCTCGGGTTAAAGAAAAGAAACTGCTTTATTTTTATATCTTTTTTCCGTTGAACTATAAAACACCGTTACCATTCTAATATTGATCAATTTTGACCCTGCATATAGGGTGTTCATTTGAAAACTTTAAATCTAAATATCTCGAGAAGATATTTTTATTTATTTTTTTGTTGTTGATCGCTATGAAGATTATTTTGTTACTTCAAATGTGACATCTTGTAAATGGGACACCGTGTTAACTGTTGTATCACAATGTGTGATTGTTCACACATTTAATTGATCACAATCACAAATTAATTTTTGTCTGCACTATTAAATATATACAGTGGCCACTTTAACGTAGCTTACTTGACGATGTCTGAAACATTGACTCCATAAATTACAATTAGTTTGAGTGACAACAAAAATAGTTCACTTTTTAGCTGTTCCATTTGTGTCTAGAACGAAAATCGAAACAATGCATTTTGTAGATCTCGATATAGTATACATGCCAAAAAAGTCGGCTTACGTTGTTGTGAGTAGACTGTGGATCTCTATGCAAAATAAAAATCAGTTTGTTCAATTTCAGCAAGCATGCGTGAAATAGAAATTTCTTTTTTAGTTTAATAATTTCAATAAGCTGAAAATAATACATAAATATTCTAAAATTCTGTTAATATTCTCAATGTTTTATATTTCACGTATCATTTTTATCATAAATTCATAAAATCCTATAGACAATTAAAGAGAGACATCTATTGATTAACACCTTTCAATGCCTATAGTTTGTCTCTACGTCAACCGATTTCGAAGGTACCGAGACCCACGAAACTCGTTGTTTAAATTTTGTTGTTCTAGGCTCATATAAAATAGTTAAAAAGTAAAATTTTCTAATTAATGTGATCCCTCCAAGCAATCGCAAATTTTTGTACAAATTTTTTAGCAATTGTTTAGTATATTAGTCCCATTAACGTCTTTAAAAAAAATTTGGATCGCCATGCACGATTACTATGAAAAAGTTATTCAGTTTTAAAAGACGTTCGAATATTTTCATGGTTCACTAAATATACTCAGTCAATGTTCAACAATTTTATTGCTTAATTTCATAGACTGACATTCCGGAAAGATTGTAGAATAGCTCCACTGTCAAAATTCCAGATAATCTACGAAGTTATGACGCGCGAAATGGTAAACTTCAAGCTGTTAGGTAGTTACGCCAATCATCCATTTCCGGTCATGCGAATCCATAAATGGACCGTCCATTTCCGATTATGCACCATCACGATATTTCCATTTGACTGACCGAATGACAAACTTTGAATCTTTCGTTTTCATGCAAATTCGGTTAAAATTATTATTATCGATCTTCTTTTATTTATGCAATTTGTATCATATATGCGCTAATAATTATATGAGATCAAATGAACTTATTGCATGTTCCAATGAAAATCAAAGTTTAAAAATATAAGATTTTCTCTTCGAAAACAAATTTTAGAAACCAATTCTGATGAGTCGATTGGATCCCTTAATGGTAATAACTAATATACCAAGTATTTGCGATGCAGTCGTAGAACCACAAATAGGATCAAATTATTATTATATAATAATTACATAATGTATTATATATTATATATTACATATATATCGTAATATTATATATAATAATGTTATTAATTATAATATTATATATAATAATTTTAATTATAATATTATTACATGTTACATATGTAGATATATATTATCTATGTAATTATTATAAAATAATAATAATTTGACCCTCTCTGTTTGTGATTCTATGGCTAGATCGGAAACAATAATAGTTATTATATTATTATATAATTATTATATAAAATCATTATTAAATGTGTTATTATATAATTATATGAAT